GACTAAATGTTTTGCTGCTTCTCTGTGTATATAGACAGGGAAGCTCATGGAAGAAAAATTAAGAGTGCTATGCTTCCATTAGCCTCATGTTTTCTATTCCAGGATTAGCCCATACTGCCAGGAAGTTAACATTAAGAATTCTAAGGTGGTAGGAGATGGCTAAGTGGGTAAAGACTTTGACCATAAGGCTGAGAAACACAGTTCTTAGCTGAACTTCAGCTTCCAGGTAAATCCCAGGTGGGTATGTCAGCTGCCTAAAACCTTACAGTTACAAAGTAGAAGGGGGAATCCCTGGAGCAAGCTGATTAGCTAGACTAGGTGAATGGGTGAGAGAACTCTTGTCTTCATGTACAAAGTTGGAACCGTTGATCTCAACTTCTGGCTTCCATATACAAGTGTGCATGTGCATGCATACCCCACACAGGGACACATGCACACAAATGCACATCACATATACATATACACAGAAGAGGAAATCTGAGAGTGGAGGATACTTATTGGGATGCCTTATTGAAGAAACAAGACTTGGAAATTATTATACACAATTTATAGCTTAAAAATTCAAATCTCAAACTGAACTATCAAATAAGCAATGGAACCTGGATATGACAATGGGACTCTGGCACTAAAATCCACATTCCTTCCTTACAGCATATCACTCCCCATATAATGGCAATATCATGTCTTTGGCAGGAGAGGTGGCTCATCAGTTAAGACTATTGGCTGTTCTTGAAGAGTGATGGGTTTAGCTCTCAGCACCCACATAATGGCTCATAACCACTTATAACCCCAGTTCCATGGAATCTAAAACCCTCTTCTGGTTGACATGTATGCATATACACAAAACGAAATAAAACCTTAAAAGAGAGTCATGCCTTTCTCACATTGATTGATACAAGTCAGTTGAGAGGTACTTTTTGCAATTAATTACCAAGTTTTGTCATTATCCATTGTATTAATGTTTGTCCAACTGTCTGCCTTTTTCTGATATCTAAGCACCATGCTTATTCTTCATTTTATGCTTTTCTGTAACTAAAATTCTTGTAGGGACATGTATTCAGGAATCTTGACTTAACAATTAAAATAATTAGTGGGATAATGTGTATTTACCATATTTATTCTATGTATGATAGTATTTCTCTACCATCTGGGTTGAAAGCCACTAGTGATTTTGTATGTACCAAATCAGATTTTATACTGAAGAAATAGGCAGACTTAGTTTGTTGTATTGAAGAAAAAACCCTGGATAGAAAATCCCATTCATATTTTAGTTCAAATCAGGAAGGTAGTCTATGCCCTTTGTGTTTCCATCCTAATACCTCATACCCATTTCTGTCTGGATAATGTTAGACTTCAGGGGTCATCAAATGAGTTTAAGGCAATATCTTTCTTTGTATTTCTGACTAATTTAGGTACTCCTGGGAGTTTTCTTTGTATTTTCAGAAGACTCACATAGAGAGCAAACATCACCAGTCAATCCATGGTTCTCTGAATTTCCGGTTCGGGCTGCACTATTTTGTGCTCTGTACGGACTAATGTTGAGGGATTAGTAGTACTCCATGCAAGTGCATGGAGGGCTGTAGGTCCTAATTTATGTATCACCTGAGTATATTTCCAGTCTCCTAACAGCACAGATTGATTCACATCTGAACACCACTTGGGGCTTATCTGTATATGCTAAATTACCATGATGCAGCAAGGCACACCATGCAGAGTTTGTGTGCCTGGGAAAGTCAGTGGGGTGGGTTAACTTACCATGAGTCTAAAAGCACTTGTATATGCAACATAGAAAAGAACTCTGAAATCACCCATTTGAAATCCCCAACAGATAACTACGGTTTATGGTATTTTATCTTCTGTGCTATCATCTTTTACTCAGTTACTGCCTATTGTAAATATTTCCAAAAACATTTCTTTTTCCAACACAATCACAAAAGGATATAGAACAGTCTGATGGGCTCTTAAATATACATAACAATACATACCATAAGCAATACACGACAAATTGAAAAGTATTATCCCTGATAGTTGAACATTAGTGACTGGGTGGATTCAGTACAAAATATAAGTTCAGAGCATGTACAGATAGGAAAAATACACACAGATAAACCTACTTTTTTAGTGCATCTCTTCGTCTAAGCACTGATAGTTGAGATAGCACCTAACCTAAGCTTCTATTAATGTGGCTCAATTTGTCTTCCTTGCTGAACTGCCTCTAGTAACAACACCTGTAGTGTGAGTAGTTTGTGTTCAAGAGAGACCTCCAGGAAAGAGGTCTGGCCTTATTTCAGCAGTAGAAGATACAATCTCCTATAACCAGGGTTGGTGATGGTAAAGCTTATATACAAAACCCCAAGGCAGTGAATCTCAACCTTCCTAATGCTGTGGTCCTTTAATAGAGTTCCTCATGTTATGTTGACCCCAACCATAAAATTATTTTTGTTGCTGCTTCATGACTGTAGTTTTGCTACCCTTATGAATTGTAATGTATAAATCTGTATTTTCCAGTAGTCTGTGGGTGGGGAGGGCTATGACCCACAGGCTGAGAACTGCTGCTCCGAGAACTTCTGCTTCTGTGTCATATACCTTACTATGGCATAACTTTGATAATTACACTTCATTTTCTATTTTGCAGAAACAGCTTTTGCAAAAGAGGTAAAGGAATGAGGGTTCAGTATCCTCAGAGATGCCAACTTGGACAACTAATATGACATTACCCTTTGATCTTTTTTATGTAGACTGAAGCAAATCATAATGGTATCACTTAGAGATTTAATTCTTCCCTCTTCACTTATAGACTATATGGGTGATAGTGGAGGCAAGTGGAAAACATTAATATCCAGTTACATGGAATGTTGACGTTAATGGAGGCACCATTTTAAGAAAACAATTCTATGTAATATTAAGCTCAAAGTCTGTGCGTTTATCATTTTAAAAGTGGTAGAATTACAAATAGATCAATTTGGTGAGCTCAAATAAGTAGCGAGTACTACTGTTTGCAGTCCAAATATTCTAATCAGGTTTGACCTTGGGTTTCTCCATGTACTTTATGAGGCTACTCTTGGCATATGTTGTTCCTCTAAAGTCTTTTTGAAGTGTTGGGTACTCTGGCATTTTTCGAATATCTTCCCAGTCTTTATCTGCAGGAAACCCTATGACACTAAATATCTGATCTAGTCAATCATGATGCAAAGGATTGCTTGTTTTTATATCTTCCTGATGGCTCTGAAGTCAATAATTCAGCAAAAATGCAGCCTATCGCCCATATATCAATGACCTTTGTACAATGCCTGGCACTGAGTAAAAGTTCTGGAGACCAATACCAAAATGTCACAACCACTGGATCCAAATTGGCGAGTGGCTTTAGAGGAGAATTGAATAGAATAAATTTATGTTAACCTGTTTATATGTCTGTATTCTTCCATTTGTCTCATTTGGGTTGCCTTTGTCTTCATTCCTTCTGAGCCTGTTGCCTTGGTAACCATCATGTACTTGCTTGTATGTGAAGCTCTCCTTTGACGTACATTTATTTCTATGGAAACAGTGATGTCATTGGTGTGGGCAGGTGCTCAGGGGAAGTAAAGTAAAAATACATAGAATGTTGATCTTTCTCTGGTCATAAAATGTACTATGAAAGTAAGTTTATCAGTTAAAGTACTATATTTTTGTTTTTATTTTGTTTTGATCATTAAGTTACAGTTTTCCTTAGGTATAATTTTGCTGGAATAGAATGAATGAATTAAAAGTGCTAAACATATTTGATAGCACATTGTTATGATATGGTATTACAACAATAAATCTTTCCGCCAAGCTGCCTAAGCCCTGCTGTCACGTGGGCGCTTTCTGCCAGGCCACTCAAGTTCTGCCCGCCACCACATTAAGGTCCCAAGTAACACACAGAGACTTATATTAGGTACAAATGCTGCTTGGCCAATGACTAGGATTTCTCATCTGCTGGCTCAGTCTTAATTATCATAAATCTATATATTTTATAAAACTTATTGGACACCAGCTGAAGTGTTCTGTCTTTCTGGGCTCACATGGTGACTCTGCACTTTCTCCTACCTTTCTTGGAATCCTCCTTGACTCCTAGCCCCACCTATCTTGTTTTCCTATTGGCCAACAGTACTTTATTTATCAACCAATAAGACAAACATATACACAGAAGGACTTCCCCCATCAGTAGTATCATAAAACTTAACACAAATACATATATGTAACAAACTTTAATCTTAAAAGTCAGAGAATTAAAAGTTTATCCCAATAGTATTTGTTATTATAAGGAAAATACGGTTCACGGATGGAGAGAGAGCTCAGCTGTTAAGAGCATTGCCTGCCCTTCAAAAGGTCCTGAGTTCACTTCCCAGCAACCACATGGTGGCTCACAACACCATGAGCTCACATGGTGGCTCATCTGTAATGAGATTTGGTGCCCTCTTCTGGCCTGCAGGCACACATGCAGGCTGAACACGGCACACATAATAAATAAATAAATAAATAAATAAATCTTAAAAAATTACGATGCTGACAAGATGGCTCAGTAGATAAAGGGGCTTGCTATGAAGCTTAACAACTAAGTTTCACCCCTGGGACCCACCTGGTAGGAGATAACTTACTCCATCAAGTTATCCTCTGAATTCCACACACATCTATGGCATATGTTCACCCCCACACACAAAATAAATAAATTCATAAATGATAAAATGTAAAAGTTTAATTATGAAAGGAATTTTATATTAGCGTAAGGCAATGTACACTAAACAGTGGATCAAGAAGAAATTCCATTCCTATAACCATTATATTTTAAAATATATGATATGGTATTACAACAATATTACACACTCTAATTTTAGAAACTAAATATAAGAAATGATTATTTTTCTACATCAAAAATTCACATAATAAGCATTACATTTTATTTAAGTCTTTAACATTTTAAAATGTCTCCATTTCTGTCTCTCTCTCTGTTATTAACTTCAGTCTGTTTTCCTTTTTTATAGACAATGTGGAAACCCGCCTATGATTTTCTCTATGCATGGAGTGCTCACTATGGAAATAGCTACAGAGATGTGTTACAAGACCTTCAATCAGCTTTGGACAGAATGAAAAACCCAGTCACCAAACGGTGGAGAGACTTAACTGGAACTTTAATACTAGTAAATTCTTTAGAGGTTTTGAGAGTAACTGCTTTCTCTACTTCTCAGGAAATATAGAGTGAAGCAGGCTTGGAGAGCAAGGAAAATGGTAGCAAATGTGTGTGTGTGTGCCTCTGTGTGTGTGTTTGTGTGTGTGTGTGTGTGTGTGTGTGTGTGTGTGTGTGTGTGTGTGTGTGTGTGCGCGCAGAGAGAGAGAGAGAGAGAGAGAGAGGGGGGATAAACTCATAAAAATGTCTTACTTTCTTTGTGTTTGGAAAACCATATTTTACCTTGAGAAACAAAGCCTGGAACTCTTACCAAGATTGGATTTTGTAGTTAAACCTCTTTTTGTATGTGGTGCAAAGGCAAACAATAAAATGCTCTGTTACTGAGAAGGAAAGAAAAGCCCTTCTCTCTTCTTCAACGTTCATTCAGTTTTCTAAAGTTAAAACACAAGAGTGTTCAAATAAACTGGAAGCTTTAACATGGGCAGCAATCATGAGGCAAGGAAATAGGAGCAGTGCAGATGCTTTGACCCCTCAAAGGCTGCATGTCTTCTGTACATATCTGTATTCTTCAGTGCAGTCAGTCAGTCAGCACTGCTCCAGTGTTCTATGTGCAGAAATCAAGGGTGGCAAAGGATCCACAAGGCTAGTATAAAGCAGGTTTTCTGCCTTAAAAAACATTCGAATTTTTGAAAAATCATACCACATAGCAAAATAATAAAAAGAAAAAAGAAAAATGCATACTGAGAAATGAAGCCTGCTCCTCTTTTTCAACATCTCTTGAATACTTACCGGAAAATATGACACCATCAGAAAAAACATCTTCGAACATGGACTAAGAATTTTCATCAGCTTCCTTCAGCATCATGGGACTATATGTTATCTTTCCTAATTTGAAGTTTTTGCCAATGATCAGAATAAAAAATGATTCTATAACCATCAGGGGTATTTAATACTGTTATTACAAATAATTACTATCACCAAAACACTTTCAGTCCTAAAATACTGACATCTTGTGTGTGTACTCACATGAAGATATTCTCTCTCTCTCTCTCTCTCTCTCTCTCTCTCTCTCTCTGTGTGTGTGTGTGTGTGTGTGAGAGAGAGAGAGAGAGAGAGAGAGAGAGAGAGAGAGAGAGAGAGAGAGAGAGAGAGAGAGAGAGAGAGAGAGAGAGAGAGAGAGAGAGAGAGAGAGAGAGAGAGAGAACATATCCCAGAGTGTATTACAAAGCTTGTGGAAGACAAGCCTAATGTGAGACCTTGAGTCAGTGTAAATGTTAATGATTGGCAGAGTTGACAAAAGTTGTCTCTGTCCAGTAATTCCATGGGTGCCAATGTTTACATGCTTGGACCTTCCTTTACTTATTGTATTTCTCTTAAGGGAGAGTGAATCTAATGATAGGCATACAGGTGCTTGAGATGAGGAAGAATGCATGATTCCTGGAGTAAGTGTTGTTAATGATAGGGATGGGCAATAAAATGACATCATTAAATGTAAAATGACATCTACAGTGGCAGCTGCAGTGGAGAAACTGTGGTGCTGAGATAAAGGCTATCATATGAATGGGGAAGAGATTAGATTCAGCAAGATTGCCTGAAAAACAAATGATAAGCCTAGCATTGTACCTGATATTGGCAGGGTTAGAGGGGTGGGAGCTAGAAATCAGTGGATGCTTCAGACAGTGGACAGCTCAGATTTGAAGGGGGCAGAGGGACAGGGTGATGAGTAAAAGGACAGGGTAAAGAGGTAAGAGGTAAAAGTGAAAGGACAAGAGTGAGGGTAGAGGGGGAGGAGGCTACATTCAGGCTACTGAAACCTTTAGGATTTAGGAAACAATGATATACCTCAAGGGTAATTTGGATGAATTGAATAAAGTGTGTGTATGTGCGTGCGTGCGTGCGTGCGTGCGTGCGTGCGTGCGTGCGTGCGTGCGTGTGTGTGTGTGTGTATTTCTGAATAAAACATGTCCATTTGGCTAAAAACTAAAAGCACAATCATTTTAGAGCTTTTAATACTCCCACCCCTAAGATATATGATATGCTGGCCAAGGTAATTTGAACTAGTGTTTAGAACAATCTTAAAGGCTTTCACTATTACTTGATGATAAAATAACAGCCTGTTCAAGGCCTTATAGACATGTGTTCAAGGGCAGAATTTATTTTAGTTGAATAAATTTAAAGAGAGGGAAAAAATCAACCAATTTGTTAGCCTAGGGCACAATGACTTGAAGTGGTGACTTTGCTTCCTTTTGAACATTGTTGTTATTTTATTAATGTGTCAGCAAACTTGAGAGTTTTGGGTTGGGATAGCAGCGATTTAATTACCAGGCTTTTACAGGCAGCAAGGTTCAAGAAGACAGAGAGCTTGTTAGCTGATCAATGTAGTAAGATTAACAACAACAACAACATGTACGACAGTTGTGTAGCTTGGTCTTCTTGTGAGACTCCTACCAGTGGGAGCAGGGGCTATCTCTCACTCTTGCTTCCTTTTGGGACCCTACTCCTCATTTTGGGTCACCTTGTCCATCCTTAATACAATGGGAGGTACTTAATCTTATTGCAACTTGATATGCCATGTTTTGTTGATATCCGTGGAAGCCTGCCCTTTTTAAATAGAAACAGAGGAATGGATTGGTTGGGGCACAGAGAGAGAGAGAGAGAGAGAGAGAGAGAGAGTATTAATTATATTAAAAAACAAAGCAAATACTTTATGTTTGTACCTTGTCATGCTTTGAGCTTGTAATTGGAAATTTTAAGCAGAGTTTTGAAAATGAAAACCATCTCAACAATTGGAGGATGGAACAGTGGTTTAAATATTAACACACACATAAAATTAATGATCTCCTTTTCCAGGGGAATTTTAAATCCATGTCTAATCTGTCCTTTTAAATTTGTTCCTATATATTTTTATAAATTGTTCCCACTATTCTGCATTTTATAATTTCCTTGCTGTGATGAATTTTCCTAATCAGAATAGACTAATTCAGTAATCACAAATTGCCTTTCCTACTTGGCAGGAAGTCAATGGAATTAATAAGGCTCTTACAGCCTCTCTTTGACATCATTAAAGTATCAAAAGCTATTAATCTAAAACTTCTCCAAGCATTGAAAAAATGGAAATAGATTAGATGGGCCTTTCAGTTCCTTAGGCTTTTCATTAAATGATATACGAATTAGCATGGGATTCTAGTTCAGTCCCTAGCTCGGAATGTGACAACTGTTCTTTGTAATTCCCATATTCTTGGCTTCTTTCTTCAGAGGGCTTCACATGAGTTCACCAGCGGATTCATTGAACAGTGTGCCACTAACTGTTTATACCAATCACAGAAACAGCACACTTTATGTCATGTAGCTAATACTGTGTACTTGTAGATAGTTAAAGTATGTAGAATAATGAATCAATGGATGGCACTGAACTTAAAAAGGGTACAGCTTTGAATATGTGACATGAGTTTCTGTGGGGGTTTGAATAAGTGTGATCCCCATAGACTCATGGGTTTGAATGCTTACCCAATAGGGAGTGGCACTATTAGGAGTATGTGTGGCCTTGTTGAAGAAAGTATGTCACCATGGGGGTGGCTTTGAGGTCTTATATGTTCAAGATAAGCCCAGTGTATCACAGTCTCCTTCTGCTGCCTATGGGTCACAATGTAGAACTCGCAGCTTCTTTTTCAGCATTGTGTCTGCCTGAATGTTGCCAAGCTTCTCACCATGACAACAATAGACTAAACCTCTGAAACTGTAAGCCAGTCCCAATTAAGTTTTTCCTTTATAAGAGTTGCCATGATTCCATTGTTTTTTCCCCCACTGAATAGTACTCCATTGTGTAAATGTACCATATTTTCTCTATTCATTCTTCGGTTAAGGGGCATCTAGGCTGCTTCCAGTTTCTGGCTATTATAAATAGTGCTGCTATGAACATCATTGAACAGATGTCCTTGTTGTATGAATGTGCTTCTTTTGGGTATATGCCTAAGAGTGGAATTGCTGGATCTTGTGGTAGACTGATTCCCATTTTCTTGAGAAGTCACCATACTGATTTCCAAAGTGGCTGTACAAGTTGGTACTCCCACCAGCAGTGGAGAAGTGTTCCCCTTTCTCCACATCCTGTCTAGCATAAACTGACATTGGTGTTTTTGATTTTGGCCATTCTGACAGGAGTAAGATGGTATCTCAGAGTTGTTTTGATTTGCATTTCACTGATGGCTAAGGATGTTGAACACTTTCTTATGTGTCTTTCAGCCATTTTAGATTCCTCTATTGAGAATTGTCTATTTAGTTCTGTACCCCACTTTTAAAATGGATGGAACTAGAAGAAACCATTCTTAAAGAGGTAACCCAATCACAAAAAGACAAACATGATATGTACTCACTCATATGTGGATTTTAGACATAGAGTAAAGGATTACCATCCTACAATCCACACTGCCAGAGAAGCTAGGAAACAAGGAGGACCCTAAGAGAGACAGACATGGTCCCCTGGAGAAGGGGAAAGGGACAAGATCTCCTGAGCAAATTGACAGCATGGGAAGAGGGGAGAGGGAGCTACAAGAATGAGAAGGGAAGAAGAGGAAGGATGCAGAGGTCATGAGGGAGCAGAAAGGTTGAATCAGGGGAGGAATAGAAGAAAGGATATGTGATAGGTAGGGTTTTGGTTGGGGGGTGGTAGTGGAGGACGGAGGGAGAAGGGAACTGGGATTGTCATGTAAAACAATCTTGTTTCTAATTCAAATAAAAAATGATTTAAAAATGTTGCCATGATTATGGTGCCTTTCCACAGCAATAAAAACCTATCTAAGATAATTTCCAAACTTGAATTTTTTAGCCAATACTGCTGTATATATAAGATATTTGGTGACTATTTGATGCCTAAGGAATATTTGAGGTAATATAAGAGAATAGTCAAAACTTAGGTCAGTGTAGGTTTTTGGAATTAAAATGAATTTTCTACTGTTTGAACAAACAGAATTAGGTCCTCTTCATGTATAAACCATGTGCCATGTGCAGCTGTATGGAACACTGGGAAATGATGACTAGGTATATAACACAAAGACTATACATTACCATCATGTTGAGTGGAAGAATACAAAGATAGTTTTCA